TTTAAATATTTCTTTTTAATTAATTTTAATTTTGTAATTGTTATTTGTGTATTTTAATCGATTGTCAGCCGCCCTGAGTCCGCAAGGAGAAGGGCGGGATATAAATTGAATTTAATAATAATAATAATAATAATAATTCTGGTTTGTAAAGATGCTCCTAAATCTTGATACTGTTCTAATCCTGTTTGTTTTTCATCTTACCATTGATTCTCTGCAGATTTGATCAATGTATTTTCTAAACCATCACTCAAATTATTTATACATATGTGAACTATTACAGGTTCCAGAGTGGACCCTGCCGTTCCTTCCAGTTTGATGCACAACCTGTACCCTTGTTGGGCATGATTGTTCAATCAGCTTGGTAGCATAAAATATAATTCTCCTTTTTCATTAGCATAATACAGCTGACATCTTGTTATCTTCTGTACTAAATCGTATGAGGAACTTTGTAGAATGCTTTGTTAATGACAAGGTGCACTATAGTACAGTGATGGCGAAACTTTTAGAGACCGAGTGCCCAAAAACTGGTCCCGCCCCCGCTCCACCCCCTGCCCTGCCCCTGCCCCGCCCCACCTGCCCACAGGGCCACTCACCACCTCCAGGGCCTGCTGCAGATTGCCCAGGCAGCCCAGCAGCGCTATGGCGGCCATGCCCTCTGCCCGCGCCCTGCAGCATCAACTGTGCATGATGGGGTGTGAGGGCAGAGTCTTGTCTACGCTGCCTAGCTGCCATGTCCTTGGCTGCGCTGCTCCGCGTGGGCCACGTTCAGGAGTGACTCTCCTTCAGAGGGGCTGCTGGAGAGGGGGTTGTGGGCGGAGGCGAGGCTGGGGCAATGGCACGTGTGCCCACAGAGAGGGCTCCGAGTGCCGCCTCTGGCACCCGTGCCATAGGTTCACCACCACTGCTATAGTATGTCCACTGCATTTCCATTATCGTTTAAGGGGTCACTCTGTCATGAAAAGGAAAGCAAGTTGATCTGATATGAATAATAATCTCATAGACTGACTACAAAGGCATGACAAGTAGCAAATATCATTACCTGGAAGTAAGAGCTGGTGAGACAACAAAATGCACAAAGTAATAGTAATTGAAGAAGTAAAGTGCTCTGGGACTTTAGAATTCAAACAGAGAAGCAACTGCCGCATAACATTCCAGACTTAACAAATATTAATAAGAAAGATAAAAAGGTCTGGATAGTGGACATTGCAGTACCTGGAATCAACAAAATAAAGAAGTAACAAAGTCACACAATACAAAGACCTGCAAATAGAAATAGAATGATGGTAGCAAAAAAAAAAAAAAAAAAANCAGTGTTGGAGCATTCACCGCTTCTGGAGGCAGGTTGTTCCACTGGTTAATTGTTCTAACTGTCAGGAAGTTTCTCCTTAGTTCTAGGTTGCTTCTCTCCTTGATTAGTTTCCACCCGTTGCTTCTTGTCCTGCCTTGAGGCGCCTTGGAAAATAGCTTGACACCCTCTTCTTTGTGGCAGCCCCTGAGATATTGGAATTCTGCTATCATGTCCCCCCTCGTCCTTCTCTTCATTAAACTAGACATACCCAATTCCAGCAACCGTTCCTTATATTTTTTAGCCTCCAGTCCCCTAATCATTTTTGTTGCTCTTCTCTGTACTCTTTCTAGAATCTCAACATCTTTTTTACATCGCGGTGACCAAAACTGGATGCAGTATTCCAAGTGTGGCCTTACCAAGGCATTGTAAAGTGGTATTAACACTTCACGTGATCTTGATTCTGATTACTGTACAGCTCAAAAATGTTTATGCTTCTAGTAAGAAGCTATCCATAGGCAAATTTGTCGGTAATGTTTGGACTCTATGACAAATGGCAAGGAAGAGCTTCAGTTCTTATCATTCAGGATAAGAAGACCTCCCTCCACCACAAGACCTCCCTTCACTCTCAATTAGTGAAGTAAAAGCTTGTCTTCTATAAAATAAACACAATATTTTCTATTCCTAGCTGGATTGAGCTTTCATAAACTGAAAAGAAGCTGTGTCTAGGGAAATCTGGATGTATGATAATCCTTATTTACAATTTTGAATTTATTCTTTTACCACGGTAATTGAAACAACAGTTATGTTTATTTTTAGGCAGACATCAGTATCCCGATCAAACATTATGTCAGAAATCAAATTGCAAATCTCACTGGCCTATGGAATTTTACAAATTATACAGTTGCTGTTCGGTGTAGGCTTGGTGAGCCCCATGAGTCGAGTCCCTGGAGTGAATGGAGCAACAAAGTAATAGGCAGAACAGAAGAACAAGGTAAGAACAACATAGCCAAGTCTGGCATAGAGATTTCATTTGCAGATTTAAACATCTCAAGTCATGGTTAATAAAGGTTAAAGGTAGAACTATCACTCATGCTTTGGTCTATTACTCTTTGGATTACTGTAATGCACTCTGCATAGGGCTGCCCTTGAAGACCATCCAGAAAATTCAACGGGTCTAGGATGCAGCAGCGGGCACAGTAATGGGGCCCCTTAAATTTGTCCATGTAAAATCTCAGTTACGTCAGCAGCATTGGCTTCCAGTTTCTTTCTGGGTGCAATTCAAGGTGTTGGTCATCACCTTCAAAGCTTTATGTGGCACAGGACCATCACCTTCAAAGCTTTATGTGGCACAGGACCAGGTTATCTTCGGGACCACCATCTACGTATCCTATCAGGTTGGATAGGGTGGGCATGGTTCTAGTCTCTTCTCCTAAATATTGCCATGTGATGGGAGCTGTGTAGCATGCCTTTCCATGGCTACCCCTGCCCTATGGAATATTTGTCCCCTGGAAGTTCGGCAGGCCCCTATCTGTAAAGCTTTGAGGACCTGGCTTTCCCCCCAAATGCATGGGGAAAGATTGGATAACTGCACACATTAGATGTTTGACTTGATGCCAGGTCTTTGTTGTTTTTAACTTTTTAATGTGGTTTGGTTTTATAGTTTCAATATGATTTTATATATTGTTTTAACTTTTCTTGGGAGCCACCCAGAATTGGTTAGAAGATAGATGGCTGTATAAATGTTTTAAATAAATAAATAAATAAACTATAAACTTTATTTAAAAAGCCACACAAAAAATGGCACATATATTGTTTCTGCCACACTTATACAGGGAGCTCATTTAATTTAGCTGAGTTTTAGTTAAGCAAAATATAATTTAAGGGAGACGGGCAGTTGAAAATGATGAAATATAAATACATAAATAATAAATAGTGCAAATGGCTCTTGTTTTTTGCAAGTGCACATTCCAGCCACAAATGGAATTGTGGATAATGTTGTGGAATCTGTGGTGATATGCTTCTTCCATGAGCATTTCTTCCCAGTTGACATCCTTTAGAGCAACTTGTTTGTCTGGTGATAGACACAGTTCTATGTTAAATAGCAAGTGACCTTGGAGAAAATATGCAAAGACCATTAATAGAACATGGGCTCAATGTGGGAAAACAAAAAAAATCACGAGAAAGAGACTTAAAATGTCTCTGCCTTGATTCTTCCTAGTATGAAAGGAGAGATACCACTAGTTTTCAAGATTCTGGATGGGTTTTTTTTTAAGTCTATCAGTAAAGTAGAATTTTAGTCTTTTTTCTGGTGTCTTGTTTCTTGATCTGGCCACCTTGAATGGCTGACACTGATATTGAAAGAAACTTCTGCTTTTTTTTTTTAAACATATACTGCATGCCTAGAGGTTCTTTGATAATATGGTTGCACTTGATATCTCTTTTAATTAGATTAAGTATTTCTAGCTAATCATGATGGCCTGACAGTTACTAGAATACAGCTGAAACTGGAGCCTTAGAAAAGATGAGAAAGAATTGGGTATCATTGTGTTCTTGTTAAGTCCAGTGTCTGTTTGCTGTTAGAGAAGACTACCATTACTTAACCTACAGAAGGGAGTGATGCCTGTCCAAGTGATCTGTTTATGCATTTTGTTTTCATATTTTAAAATTTTGTTTCATTATTCTTAACAGCCCCTTCGAAAGTAGACTTATGGAGAGTAATTGAAACTGTTCATCCTAATGAAAGAAGGATGCGCCTTTTGTGGAAGGTAAACAAATATCAGGACATTTAAAAATTCCAGTTTCTTTTTATGAATGTACACACACACACACACACACACACATATGGTGTTCAAAGTTCTTCTCTGCTTCTTGAGTCTGATATCAGAAGTTTAGGAATCGTGGTTATTACAATTTCTTAAAATGAAACGCTGATATTGTTTAAATAACAATTACAGGTAGACTTTGAGTTACAAGTATTCATTTAGTGACTATTTGAAGTTACAAGGGAATGAAAAAAGGGACTTATGACCATTTTTCACATGAGCGTTGCAACATCCCCATGGTCAGATGATCAAAATTTGGATGATAGACAACTGGTTCATATTTATAACAGTTACAGTGTCCCCTGGTCATGTGATCCCCTTTTGCAACCTTCTAACAAGCAGAGTCAATACGGGAACCAGATTGGATTGAGAAAAAAATATCCCATGTTTGCCTTTTAATTTATTATTATTATTATTTATTGAATTTATATACCGCCCTATCTCCCTTACGGGACTCAGGGCGGTGAACAGGCGATAATAAAAACCACGGTAAATATACGCAAGTTTCTGTTCTAAAATCAAATTAAATAACAGGCCTGCTCTAAAATACCCCATACAAAACCCCCACTAAAACATAATCAAACTACGCCAGGCCGACCGCACGGAATAGATGGGCCTTCAGGGCTCGGCGAAAAAGGCACAGGTCTGCAACTGTACGTAGGTCGGGGGGTAGGTCATTCCAGAGGGCAGGAGCTGCCACAGAGAAGGCTCTCCCCCTGGGGGTCACCAGGCGGCATTGACTGGCCGATGGCACCCTAAGGAGGCCCTCTCTGTGGGAGCGGACTGGTCGAAGGGAGGTGTTTGGTAGGAGGTGGTCTTGCAAATACCTAGGTCCATTGCCATGGAGCGCTTTAAAGGTTGTTACTAACACCTTGAAGCGCACCTGGAAGGCCACCGGCAGCCAGTGCAGCTCGCGCAGGAAAGGTGTTACATGGAAGTATCTAGAGGCCCCCAGGATCCCCCGCGCGGCCGCATTCTGAACTAGCTGGAGCCTCCAGGTGCACCTCAAGGGGAGCCCCATGTAGAGAGCGTTGCAATAGTCCAGGCGGGAAACAACGAGGGCTTGAGTGACCGTGCGTAGAGCGTCACGATCCAGCAAGGGGCGCAACTGGCATATCAGGCGAACCTGATGAAAAGCCCCCCTGGCCACGGCTGTCATATGGTCGTCTAAAGACAGCCGAGTATCCAGGAGGATGCCCAGGTTGCGGGCCCTCTCCGCGGGGGCTAATGACTCGCCCCCGATAGCCAGGGATGGAGCCAACTGGCTATGTCGTGACGCCGGAAACCACAGCCACTCGGTCTTGGATGGGTTGAGTCGAAGCCTATTCCTCCCCATCCAATTTATGCTGCTTAACTATTTAGATTTTAACAGTTCTGTTTTAATTGTTTACTGTAAATGTGTTTTAATCATTTGCACATTTGTATGGTGCAAAATTGCCTGGAACTATGAATAATTATAACTCTACAGCTAACTTGTACATACTTTTCAAGTGCTCCTTTACAGTTTTATTTTTCATGCATTAGGTTTTGAGGAGTCCAATCCTATACATGTTTAACCATTTGTTCTTCTTAATTGCTACTATAAACTGACCAGGTAAATAAAGAATTCCCATCTTCAGGAATCATAACTGGCTATACAGTAAGATACATTGCAGAAAACAGCAACATTACTTTTGAAAAAAAATACAATCAGAAAGAGCTTGTCATTCTCAGCCTGACGGAGGATGCCTATAATATCAGTTTTACTGCTCATAACAGTGCTGGAGAGTCTCCTGAAGCTACTATTAGAGTTCCATCATCAAAACAGGAAAAAACAATGAGTAAGTTTATGCAAATACTGTACACAACACACACACACACACACACACACAGAATAAGAAAGTGCTTTTTGTTGTTATTGTTTATATTGTATACTGTATTACTACTTATGTGCCACTGGTGCTTTGTTGACGATTTCAACCATTTTCTATTTTCTGTAACATCCTTTCAAACTTTAACTTAGCTGAAATCTTTCTGTGTATCCACAACTGTTTCCTAAGTGAGGGGTCCTTGGTGCTCTCTGAGCTAGGTTGTTTTCTTGCAAACATTTTATTACCTAAACTTGGTAACATCACCAGTGCTCATATTCATCAGAACACTGACAATGTTTGGGTAATGAAACTTTTACAAGAAAACAATCAAATGCAGAAAGCATCAAGGATCCCTCATTTCAACCCTGATTTACAAATATTCTGGCAGAGAGAAAGAAGATTGGAAAGGTTTGTCTCAAAGGGGCTTTTTCAAAAGGCAACTGGACTATGTTTTTTCCTTGAGGAAAAAGATGTTTTGCTTCTCATTCAAGAAACTTCATCAGTTGGGATGGTGGGGGCGATGGAAGGATTAGTTCTCAAAAAACACCTTTGAGACAACCATGACTGGGATGACTGAGAATCTCCATGGACATTGGAAAGGCTTGCTAAATATATGGATTTTTATTAAGAAAAATATTATCAAATAAATTTGTTGCTACAGTTATATATGCTTCCTCCAGCTCTAAAATCCAATCTAAAGGTATCTTTTTAAAGAAGAAATAAGTGGTTGTTAGGTGAAAATGGCTCTTAGCTTTGTTACATAGAGGAATGTGTATGTGTGTGTATTCAAAATTCACCTCAGAAATGTTTCATTGAGAAATAGAAATTTTGGGTTCAGTTGTGATCCTAAGTCAAGGACTACCTGTGTTCCAATTTAAGTTGCCACATCTTCTGTAAGGAAACAGTGAAATTTTTTCTCAGTATTTAATATATATATATATATTACCGTGCTATAGTTTTCTGTTTCTGTTTGCTGTAAATCACCACTGCCATGCATTGCCAGTTGCAATCATTGCTTAAATTGCTGACATTTACTCAACCTAGTTAACATGGGCAATTATTCTCATAGAACCAAAAATTCTTCATCTGAATGCTTCTGTTGCAAACGAGGAAATGAATTTGACATGGGATTTAACAAATTCAGAAATAGATGGTTATCTTATCGAATGGTATGAGTCGGAGGAAAACACATACAAGCGATCTTGGCATAGGATAAGAAATACCACAAAATGGACTTCCCCCAAAGGTATGATTTTAAGGCTAATTGCACATACTATGAGTGGTAGTGTTTTTAAGTATTGTCTTTTTATTTAAAGTATACTTTTCAATTATTTCTTATCTTCCCTCTTTGTTTTTCTGTAACTAAAGATTGTAAGTCATTGAGAGATTAATTTGGGGATTATTTATTTATTTATTTATTTATTTATTTATTTATTTATTAATTAAATTTATATACCGCCCTATCTCCCTTACGGGACTCAGGATGGTGAACAGGCGATACTAAAAACCACAATAATAAATAAATAGTTTCTGTTCTAAAATCAAATTAAATAACGGGCCTGTTCTAAAAACACCCCAAACAAAAACCCCCACTAAAACATAATCAAACTACGCCAGGCCGGCCGCACGGAATAGATGGGCCTTCAGGGCTCGGCGAAAAAGGCGCAGGTCCGCAACTGTACGTAGGTCGGGGGGTAGGTCATTCCAGAGGGCAGGAGCTGCCACAGAGAAGGCTCTCCCCCTGGGGGTCGCCAGCCGGCATTGTCTGGCCGACGGCA